AATAGATAACGTCATAGTTGCTAATTAAACCGATGTCTAATCTGTGGAAGAATTGACGTACCGTCATTTCCCATAAAAAGGGGAATAGGTATCTGCGTTCTACAAGCATTTCATGAAAATTACGCTAAAGTGCATCTCGAAGAACGTTGGAACGAACAAGCTGAATTTTTCAAAGGATTGGACCGTCGAGCAAAACCAAACCCTTTCGAGAACAAGATAACCACATACGTCTGCAGGGAATACCATGTATCTCTAAGCTCAACCTCCTTTGAGTAAACATTCGACAATGTGTCGTGAGTAAACGCTATTTTATTTCAGAGAGAATACGAATAAAATTCGATACATAAAGAACGTCAAATATAAAAGACAACACATTATTTTGAACGAGTCTCTAATTGAGAAGATCGTACAGTACGCATACCTAGGACGTCCAATGAGTACTGACAGAGAGTTGACTGAAAGAGTCAGTAAGAAGGCCAAAAGCAGCACGAACCACATTCGGGCCTCTGACAAAGGCCACTAACGATTGCTTACTTATGCCCATATACACGTTCACTTATCCGAGTTGAAAATTCTTCCAACTCTTCGCTATTCAGCAGAAATTTAAGACGACAACTCGGCTATATCGAAGTAGATGCGCACGATGCACAAAGAACTCAAGCGCCGTTTCTGAAATATGAACAACCGCACTGAACACCAAGTCGGTTTTCATAGTTGAGATATTGGAAGAATATTCTGTTTTCGAAATGCACTGGAATACGTTTCAAGAAACACCGATGGTCAATGAGCTATTCACACAATGACATGACGACAGATGGACGAAAAGAGTAGAACGGATTTTGAGAGAATCTAAACTGCTCGAAGAATACCACGAAGATGACGGTCTGATACGCTCGCTACGTGCTTAAACCAGCTATATTTAAGAGTTGAATCAAACTCGAGATATTAAAATCAACCTATTACAGAACAATAAAGCGAACGAAAGATATGCTGGAATGCCCACAATACAAACTCACTAACTTGTTCTAACGATGAACGGAAGGAATAATCGGAAGAGAATATGCGTTTTGAATTTACCTTGAAGTAGGAGCTGAAGGCGTTCTTGAATGTATCGGCTTCCTATTTCTTCGAAGATAAGGTGATCGAGTAATGGCTGAAATGTAAGGAAATTTTTAGGCACAGACCAGTCAATTTCCAACAATTTCTAGCAAATCTGAGGGATAGAAACGAATAAGGCAAAAAAGCTTCCATTATCAGCAACACCTTTAATTTTCCGAAGTTACACGTGTGATTACAACCAAGGCATTGGATTTTATGCGTAAACCCAAAAATCATACAACCACAGTTACCCGTGGTAAAGACCTATAACATCATAGCATTTCCAAGCATTTCATGCACATCACGCATTAGAAAATTGATTCCCGACTTCAAAAACATCAACATTCGTATTGCCCGAGTTTTGCATTTGTAATATGAAAAATGGTACCATCGTGATAAGAGAAAACCTAGACCTTCATTCAGCCCCGAGTACAGTGTCAAAAGTACTTTTATCGAATCAACAAATCTTTCAAAGTTGTGCAGAAAAAAAATAACATCGAAAACATATTTCGTCACTCATCGACTATTTTTATTAAAAAATGGTTAAAGCTTTAGGGTTTTGATCAGTCCTTGAGGGATGCGCCATGCATTCGACATCACTAAGCATAGTTAGAGGTGACTGAATGCATACTTGGCATTTACAATGACTCGCGGTGGCCTGCCGACCGACGTATCGAGCCAGTGCTGCTATCTTCCCAACATGTCTGATACCAATTTCCTGACTCCGGAAGGATGGAAGGCTTGGTTGGTCATGGCCGCTGTGATCGATCCCACGTGTGTTGCGGGCCGCCTCAGACCATCTCGCTACACGCGCCCCATTTTTTATTAAAGTAATGCAGAAAATAACAGAATAGAAATGCATGAAAAGAATGCGTTTCTTAATTGTTGAAACGAGCAAGCGGAACAGTGACAGAATAAAGCTTTATACGCAGTTCGATAACTGACAACAGATAAAATGGACACCCAACGCAATCACAAGCGAACTATTACGTGCAGATCCACGACCATATTTAAGGACCCTCATGAGATGACAATTCACTCGACTACTGGAGTTACGTGGTATGTTCCTTCACTAGCACAGTACCATCAAAAGCGAAGTCGAACTCGTTGGTTGGTTGCGCTACGTTGTGGCTAGTAAAAGACCAATATTGACGGTTATGTGTGTTGTTTAGTAAAGGTTAGGAGAAATATTTCTTTCTACGCATAATTAAAAGCTGCTAATTCTAAGCAAAACAAATGCAATGTTTTTCATCAATAAGCAGACACGAGGTTGTTAATATAGAATTTATTAGAACACAATTGCTGACGTTTCGGCGGTTTCGCCTTTTTCAGAGCCTGGAAAGGTCAAATTGAGATGTGATCTACTCAGCCAAACACTTTCACAACCCTAGCAGATAAAACTTGACAATTCGATTTGCATTCGCATAAGAAACAGCTTCATTCAAACACCTACCGTTTATTTGTTGTAAGTATTTAAGTTAGTTGGTGAATAGCCGCCGCACAGAGTAATACATGGTCGATAACTGGGTCCATATCAGGTCATTGGATCAGCCTGAGGTATGGCGCTAGGTCACGCGTGATGACAAGACACTCCTCCTTGCGGTTCATTTTTGAATTTTTGGCATTGATCCAAAACGCTTCAAGAGTTTTTCGCGCTGATGTTTTCGATTCCTGCGTAAGGATAGTGACTCCTACCTCAAAATCCTCTCCGTTGTGTTCTTGCGTCCTATGAGCGCCTAGTGGAGTATTTTGTTTTAGTTTAGATTTACCGACTAGGTGTTCTTTTATGCGGACGCAGAGCGATCTACCCGTTTCGCCAACATAATCGTGCCCGCACGCTTTACAAGAGATCAGATAGACTGTACCCGAACTCATGCAATCACCGTCTCTACCATTTGGGCAAATTATGCAGTTTTTTGTTGTACATAGACGGTCGTACAGGCGGTTGCGAACTAGCTGGCGTCTTAGAGTGTCCGGTGGTATTTCTATCACTCTTACGGAATTCTCTAGACCGGCCCTTATTAAGCAGCGTTTTATAGCTGCACTTCTTTCGTTTGAAATAAAGGGCAACAGGAACGGAGAATCAGCGCGTAAAACTCTTGAAGCGTTTTGGATCAATGCCAAAAATTCAAAAATGAACCGCAAGGAGGAGTGTCTTGTCATCACGCGTGACCTGGCGCCATACCTCAGGCTGATCCAATGACCTGACATGGACACAGTTATCGACCTTGTATTACTCTGTGCGGCGGCTATCCACCAACTAACTTAAACACTTACAACAAATAAACGGTAGGTGTTTGAATGAAGCTGTTTCTTATGCGAATGCAAATCGAATTGTCAAGTTTTATCTGCTAGGGTTGTGAAAGTGTTTGGCTGAGTAGATCACATCTCAATTTAACCTTTCCAGGCTCTGGTGAAGGCGAAACCGCCGAAACGTCAGCAATTGTGTTCTAATAAATTCTATATTAACAACCTCGTGTCTGCTTATTGATGAAAAACATTGAAATATCAATTAATGCCGAGGTTAACAGAAAGTCGGTCTTGGGACAAAACAAATGCATTCAGCAATTTTGCACTAGTCGAAAATAATGAGGGAGTTAGGGTTTATAGCACAAAGGGTAACACTTTAGTAAGTTTAGTAGTGTGGAATGTTATTTTCACTGAACAATGGAGCACGAAACAATACAATCTTAATGTTTTAACGTTTTGTTTTCTGCCTTCTATAATTTTTATGGCAGGTTACTAAGCGAAATACAACCACAACGTTGCTGAGATATTTGCAAAACTCTGGACCGCAGGTGTCTATGGTGGGGAACGAACGCGCTATTATCCTTTCCGGGGAGTAACGCGTTCACCACCACACCATGCGGGTCCTTTGTTTCGCACGTCTCTCAGCTATTTCTATCACCCGCTGACGGGTGATTGCTGTGGCAAAAAGATCGATAGAAATAGCTGAGAGACGTGCGAAACAAAGGACCCGCATGGTGTGGTGGTGAACGCGTTACTCCCCGGAAAGGATAATAGCGCGTTCGTTCCCCACCATAGACACCTGCGGTCCAGAGTTTTGCAAATATCTCAGCAACGTTGTGGTTNTTTTAACGTTTTGTTTTCTGCCTTCTATAATTTTTATGGCAGGTTACTAAGCGAAATACAACCACAACGTTGCTGAGATATTTGCAAAACTCTGGACCGCAGGTGTCTATGGTGGGGAACGAACGCGCTATTATCCTTTCCGGGGAGTAACGCGTTCACCACCACACCATGCGGGTCCTTTGTTTCGCACGTCTCTCAGCTATTTCTATCGATCTTTTTGCCACAGCAATCACCCGTCAGCGGGTGATAGAAATAGCTGAGAGACGTGCGAAACAAAGGACCCGCATGGTGTGGTGGTGAACGCGTTACTCCCCGGAAAGGATAATAGCGCGTTCGTTCCCCACCATAGACACCTGCGGTCCAGAGTTTTGCAAATATCTCAGCAACGTTGTGGTTGTAATACAATCTTAGTTTAAACTTAGTTATTTAGCTGAGNGCAAAACTCTGGACCGCAGGTGTCTATGGTGGGGAACGAACGCGCTATTATCCTTTCCGGGGAGTAACGCGTTCACCACCACACCATGCGGGTCCTTTGTTTCGCACGTCTCTCAGCTATTTCTATCACCCGCTGACGGGTGATTGCTGTGGCAAAAAGATCGATAGAAATAGCTGAGAGACGTGCGAAACAAAGGACCCGCATGGTGTGGTGGTGAACGCGTTACTCCCCGGAAAGGATAATAGCGCGTTCGTTCCCCACCATAGACACCTGCGGTCCAGAGTTTTGCAAATATCTCAGCAACGTTGTGGTTGTAATACAATCTTAGTTTAAACTTAGTTATTTAGCTGAGTATAGCGACGTTTGTCCTTGTTTAACTATCACTACCACCATCATTATTCAGGTAGTAATGGTAGTAGAATTGGTACATTTGTATATACGCATTAACAAAAGACTCTTCGCACTCACACGCTGCATGACTACGCCGCGATTTGATTTCATCTTGTTCCTCACGAATCGACGATATTTTACGAGAGAGTATTGGACCAAGGGCTTTCAATGGAACTTCTGCTAAGTCGTCTGGTTTTGGAGGTGGGGGGAGGTGAAGTCCATCGCTCTGGAAATCACATAAATTAACAATTGAGTTTCTTTATTTTATCGGAAATTGGGCATACAGAAAAATACAACACTGCAGTGCACTATCCGCTTAATGTTCCTCAGTCAATGAGACCGCTTCTGAATGTGATGTGGTCTGTTAATTCAACCACTAGGAGTACCTTACGAAAATTTAACGCTAACCTTAATCTCGCTTTTTCGTATTCCCCATTAAAGTTTCTCGCTATTGAACTACAAAGCCTATAAATGGAGTACGTTCCTAATATTACCTTTAATTTACTAAGCACCTCTCGTAAGGAAAACATCGTTTCGTCATCAGAGTAACCAAAATTGGAAGGAAGTGTTGTCTGTATGAAGTCCATGAAATTTTCCATATGGGTCTTACGAATAGATTCTGCAAAAACAGTTTAACATATGGCACACAACTTATCAGAACTTGAAATATACTCAAAAATTCGTAATGTGGATGCACTTGACGAAGACAGAGTAGTACCAAATGGAGAAAAAAATCGGTATAGAATCTCCTCTTAACCCACTCTCATGCATTTTCATAATATTCAACGCCATCGCTAGAAGTATTGGATCACCTTCAAGAATATAAACATCCCATAACCTGGAAAAAATACTTCACTCAGTTTACAATAATATTCGACACTTCTACGGCAACCGTAACAGAGACTACTCAAAGTGCACATGATAAGAAACAGACACCTATTAAAAATAAATAAACTTGTAATAAGGCGTATAAAACATAAGACTGTAAACAAAGTTTCCGAAGAGGCACCACTATGTACCATTTGTCTCCGTAGCACATTATAGTAGCACAAGGTCCACGAATACAGCTTGGAAGATCCTACAAGATGGATGGCCTAAGATTGCAATTTTAAATCGAAGAATACCCCCCCCCCCCCCCNAATTTTTAAACCAAAAAAACCCCCCCCCCCCCCATGACGCTATAAATGGTCTAGGGAACGTAAGAGAGGAGGACATGATTTCTTACGATCTTAAGTGCTCCGAAAGCTTAACAAGCGATGGGCTTCACACAAAAATGTTAATAATAACGATAATTGAAACAACTTAAAGAACGGGAATCACTGCGACGAGAAATCTGCAACGTGCACCTTATTATAAATAACATGGAATTATTTTTGAATCTGACTTTGAAGAAGTAGACGAGAAAATGAACGAGTAGATCTCAGCACTCGTCTTCGATCAACATAAATAGTGGCAATGGTCTAGGATTTCCTCCAGAATTAAAGAACTTTCTTCGCTGTCTTGTCTTCAAGTTTCAATAACAGCAGCACTGCCGAAACTTAGCAGATTTTCAAACTATGCTGATATCAAGTCCAATAAGACGTTTTAAAAACGTCTGAGTGGCGTAGAAGCAATCCTTCAACCGTAACAGAAAGATCTCATATGAACGTGGAAACCGATTAATCTCTCCATCTTTTAAACAGGTATCAGTTCCCTCGAACATTCACTTGTACGTATCTTTTCGGGCCGCCATTCTCATATACACATTCTTAAGACTCTTCGACGAGCACTATGACCGATTTTCCATTTCTCCCAGCGTCTTAGGATTCTTCTTAGGACTTCAAGAATTGCAAATTTGTGAAAGTTCCAAAGAAAAGGATACAGTAAAAGTCTGGAGAAGAATAATAGAAAGATGTTTTGGAAGGTACAACTTTGAAATAATGACAAAAAGAATACAAACTTTAAAAATGACGAGGCAAAGAAAAGCCGTTTAAAAAAGTAAGAAACTCACCTTAATGCTAATGAGAAAGGAACCCGATCAAGGAAACAACCAAACCACCATTTGGTGAGATAAATATAAGGAATGTCATTTTTTTCCTAAAAATATGTTTCTTCATAACATATTGATAGAAAAGAAACGTTAGTCTTAAGCTAAAAGTTAGGAAGTTAAAAGGAAAGGTTGGTTAGGTCATTAGAAAAGTTAAAAATCTTTATCAACCTCATACTAGTTTAATAATCCAAGAAGAATAGTTAGTGTAAAATCTATAACAGAATAACAACACTCACAAAATGTTTATAAACCCGAGGCCTATATTTTTTAAGCAGCTTTTTGAAATGAGCCTCAAAGCGAGAGAGTTTCGGAAAGCCAGGAACGAAAAACCCTAAAAACGTTATATGGGTGAGGCCAAAGTAGTTTCGGAAACACGAACCATGCATTGTGTGTTTCTGGCCAACCATAAGTGCATGTATACACCAGAACGTATCCTCCTCGTCCAAATACATTAAAAACAATGCCGCTATCTGGCTCATTCCTGCAAAAGCCACAAGTTATTATCGTAGAATTAACATATGGAATGAATTAACACAGAAATTATACGACATTCTCAATAAAGGATAAAGGACAAAGCTCTCGGTGTTGATAAATCCCTGAGAGAGGCGCCATGCATTCGACTTCATTAAGAATCGTTGGAGGTGACTGAATGCATATTTAGCCTTTACAATGACTCGCGGTGGCCTACCGATGTATCGAGCCGGTGCAGCTTATCTTCCAGACAAGTCTGGTACCAATTTACCGACCCCAGAAGGATGGAAGACTTGGTGGGCCACAGGCCGGGATCGATCCCATGTGTGTTGCAGGGCGCCTCCGACCATTGCGCCACATGCGCTCAACATTCTCAGTAGTTATCGAATAATCTCTATCTTTACATTATTTCTGTGTTGACTATTCTTCATCGAACAAGTATTTGACTTGCACTGCTCAATCATCTCCAAATAGCAAAGTCCTCTGTAAAGACTTTCTCAGTGTTTCCCATGTGCCGCTTTCTTCTGATGAAGGCATTCGCGGCTACCGTACTACCCACTGAATCGGCCTCATCAGATGGTACTGCTTTAGAAACCTGCTCTTCAGACTATCTCTTCAAACCATCTGCACAATATATCTTCAACTAAACTAGCTAAAATCCGTCTATCCTAACAACATAAACTGCTCCGTCAGCTTTCAGCTTTCAGTTCGTTCAACCGGTGCTTCTCCAATTCCCAATCTTCGACTTCTATCGTTATCTTTGTACTGTTTTTGTTGTTATTACTATCATAAACGACTACAACTCAGTGTCTCAAGGCGTTCGGCGAAATAACTAATACACTGAAGTCCCACTTGTGGAGTACGAAAAGAGAGCAGTCAATCAGATTAATACTCACAACTACGTAGTATTCTTAAAGCTATGGACTTCAATAAGAAATAGAAAACTTACAGAATTAACGTACAAGTACAAGTAGTACTACATAAAATGACAAAAAACAAAAACAACATGGGAAAATTGAAAGCATTTTCATCAGGAAAAACTCTAGCACTCTACCACTTAGATAAGTTACAGTAGTATGCAGCACAAATTGGAACAATATACAAACCAACATACAACACTAATCCACAGAGATCAGAAAGGACACATCGGCGATGCTCAAAAAATGGAAGAAAGCGGCGCCGAATTTCAGGACCGTTTGGGACCCGTAACCTTCTGTCAACGCATCCTTAAAACGACGATGTGCCGATCAATAACCAAACCAATTAGACGACTGGTGGGTGCAGTAGACCAATCCAGATGATATACAACCATGAAAATTTTACTGCCGTAAACTATACGTCATTATTATACCATATAAAGATATGATATAGGGGTGGGGATAGCACAGTGGTTAGTGATGCCGGCGATCAGGAAACAAAGGCGCAAATTCGATCCTCCTCTCCCCCAATACTCTCCACGGATCCGTGTGGGAACACCTTAAACCGGCTATCTCCAGGACTGCAAGGAGATTTGACAAGACCAGCAATCCATGACATTCATAAGGAAGAGGAAATCTTCAAGCAGCAAGCGAAACAAGATGCGAAATGATCGAAGACATTTATTGAAGATGAATACAATGAAAACGAATCGAACGGAAGAAGTTCTGGGATAATGTTGTAACAGATCATGTAAAATGCATATATATATATATATATATATATATATATACTGTTATACTTCGTATTTTTGTTGAGCAAACGCGAGGTGTTACTATTCTTTATTCACGAATAAGCTGACGTTTCGGCGGATTTCGCCTTCCTCAGAGCCGCTTTCTGAGGTTTGCACTAAGTATGTCACGTAGAGACCAACCGCACAGAAATCACATGGAAGCATAATGATTATGAACGAATAAAGAATAATAACACCTCGCGTTTGCTTTTTGCTCAACAAAAATACGAAGAATTACTTGATCAATGCCGAGGTTAATAGAAAGTCGGTCGTGGGAGTTATACTGTTATACCTTGAAAGGAACGCTGTTTAGATAAAAAATCCACCACACGTCTGATATACCATAAAATACTTGAGGAGACCCAAAAAAGTATGTCCAACTCTCACCTTGACAATATCCAACTTCAGTATTGTACATAGAGTATGCAGCAAGAACATTCAACAGAGACCGCTGCCTGAAACAGTAGTTTTCTTCACCGTAACAATGGTGGATTTAGGCGACCCATAACAACCGAACCCATAATGTAATACTTTAAGCACATACTTGACATCATAACGTCTTCGAAAAGCCAAGTGGTCACGGTACGTTCGATTGATGTCCAGATCAATCTGTTTAATATCCTTTGACACCAAAAGCGCTCTTATTAACAACTCTTGATACATGTTCGGTCGAGCATCTCTCATGTCAATGGCTCCAAGTAGGCGCGGCCAAATCTAAACTTTTTAGGGCTAGCAACCTTCAACTGATAGCCTATATTCTTAAAACTATTTAGCAAATAAACATGAAAAGAATCAAAAATGTCTTATTCGATGTCAAATTGGAAATTCTCAAATATTTACCACTTCTTCATCTATTGAGAGAGTGGTCGGATATAGAACTACAACGCCTAGAGAAGAGTAGTACATCCCTCGGAACGGTTTCCCAAGCCCAGTAATTAATATTTCCATTCGGAAACTAAGTAAGTGTGAACAAATTTTATGAATCACTACCATTCTGATAGAAAACTCGTAGTAAGGGAGTTCAAAGAAGAATCATGAAAGATCAACCACAGCATTCATATTAAGCGTTCCTGCTTCTGACGTATCGGTTAGTACGAGAACTGGTGAGGGATGATAAAGAATCATCAAAGTTCGGGTTACATATAACGCCCACTCAAACAGAAATGAAGTATTAGGTCGTTCTTAAAAATCAACTACTTCCTAACCTCGGCACTGATCAATAATACACTGTTTTCTCGATGAGAAAACACGAGATTGTTAACAACAAGATTTATTTAATACAATACCGGCCAACGTTATGGTGATTTTCCTTTCTTCAGAGCCTTGAAGAGCCAAATCCACTCAGCCAAACAACTGTAATCTCCACAGATAAAACTCAGTAAATAAATGGTTATTTGTACAATGAACAGCTTCTCGTAAACACTCCATTTCGTAGTTCTTAAGTTCCGCACTTATCACCGGAGATCAACTGCACAGAGTCTTAATGTGCCCATATGAGATCAAAAAATCGATTTGATATACGGCGCGAGATCACATGTGACCACAGGGTTCTTCTTCATGTGGCTCATTTTCGGATTTTTGGAGTTTACCCAAAACGCTTCAAGACCTTAATGTGCTGAAGTTTTAGATTCCTGTGCAAGGAATATGACTTATACTTCAAAATGTTCTCCGTTATGTCTGTGTCTTATACCTGTCCAGTGGAGCATTAGGCTTAACTTCACATTTACCAACTAGGAGTTCTTTTATAGAAATATACTGATTATTCAAGCCGAGGTTACAAAAAAGTTGTTTAGTAAAGTATTATTTCGCAATGTGCCAGCTATTCTAATACCGACTACTACGGGAAGGACTATCAACGTAGAAATAAGTCATTATCGGTCGAAAATCAGTCAACAACTGTCTTGTATAAAATGACACTGCCGAGTGAGAGTACTTCATTCGAGCGGTGCTCCACTCATGAAAATTCGACTCAATACGAGTGCGAAGACCCACAAAACGAAGACGAGGGACTGTGGGTCATCGATGCGGATCGTCAGCTCTGAAGACAAAGACCTCGAAACAGCCGAACAAATGCTACCTAACAACCTCTGGATTCATAACTTTACTTGTCCTGTACACGTTTCAAACTTATGCTTTTTATGCTTTTCGAGTGCTGTACTATTACATACCTATCCAAAACACACTTTATTCATCTCTATCCTGTGTAATTGTGTTGCAATAACAACTGCATTTTTGGTCAGCTTTACAGGACGGAGATTGAAATGTGAAAACGATATGGATAAATTCATTTTCAAAAATTCCAATTCGGTCACAGTGCACGGCAAACGGCTTAAATCTTTAATGAGTTGTGGGGATGGAGAAATGTTAAAGAATGCATAATACAACGGTGACTTCAGAAAGCTCGTCAACGCCATTCTGACGAAGAATTGAATGCTTCAGGGAATGCAAATAATCGTACAAATGTTCGAGAACTTGCAGAAAAACTCAGTGTGAGGATTTCAATTGTTTTGGAACGTCTGTTTCGAACTGCAAAGTTGAAGAAGCTCGACAAAGAGATGCCATGCGCAACAAAAACAGCCAATTTTTACAGCGAACCGTGAAATGATGAGAACTGAATGAGCGCCTAAACGATGTCTTCTAAAATTTAGACGACACTCATAATGTCGTGCCATAATACGCAGCTGAAGGGAACCTAACTTTGAGATCGGGAGAATATACATCGACAGTGAAACAAGGATAGGCCAGTCACATAATAAGAAGAACAGATGAGAGTAAGTGTCCTCTCAGGCCACCACCCCATCAAGACGGGCAGAAATGTTTGTTGCTATCGTCTAACAAGAACTCGAAGGTGGAAATGATTTAAAGATCGAACACGGGTCTCACAGACGTCTATGCTGAAGGCAGACCAAACCACGGACAACAACAGCTCGAGAAGTAACAAATAGAACATGTGCTGGGACCCTCGCTGCTGCTAAAAAAACAGCCCAGTTATCCAAGTAGCTCGAAAACATTGAAACCGTCTCGCAAATCAGACACTTGAACTAAACACAACATTTAATCAAGAATGGTTTGGAGTAAAGGGACAAATTCAAAGGCATCCTTTTACTCCTAACTTCCACCGATATCAGATGACCAACAACATATTTATTTCCCAGAAAATCAGAAAGCATAGTTCGAAAACTATAACAGAAAAAACACCTTCATGCGCAGCTTTTCAGGGATGCCCTTCCATGTCCTCTCCTGCAGTTTTTGTGGAACGCGACCTTTCTTCCAGGACTAAAATTCTGACAAAAATTTGGGACTAAAACCATTCAAGATAAATGTTTAAGTCGTGATTTTTTAATTTGTCTTTTTTAAATACGCACTCCTTTATTTGAAGTTTCAACAAAAAAGTGAGATGGCTCTCAACTACTGATAGGTCATTTGTTCTTTTTCTCTGCTTCTACAGTTTTATTCATCTTCAGCCACATATTAATACATCGCCGACGGATTGAGTAACAGACAGGAAAAGACTCACATTTTCCATGGCCAACCACTTGTTCTCCCGTTTCACTTCCTTCGATATACGACGACGGTTAGCTTGCTCCTCCACCGTAACTTCTTCAGGGTCTTTACTAAATTACAATTACGGTTATGAAACATCGACTCCTATATTTTAAACTAAGTTAGTAGCCAACTTTTAAAACGGGCCAATACAATACTAGACGTAAAAAAACAAAGATTATAGAAACCCCAAATTTCAACTCGATTGACCATTACCACATTTGCCAGTTACATTAAGTTCCTTATTTCAGTAATGAAAAAGAAAAGAAAATTACTGCACAAAGCCAAAGCGGTCCATTTTAGCATAGACATCAAACTCGGGATTCTCCCATGGATCGATGTCTTTCGATTCGGGACCCTGTGAATCAGGCATACGTTAAATTCATTAACGTACAGCTATTTGAAATCCGAACAAATCCACTACTTCTTCATGATTTAAAGCGAAAAGAATAAAACGGGCAGAAAACATTAAAACAGAAAGTTCGAGATGTCATATATTGTGTTATCGAACCTGCTTATATTTCATCACGATTTTATCTCTCTCTTCTAATTCACGCAACTCTGGATCGTCTTCTTCACCACTGCTAGTACTCTCGTTCTCAGCTATAAAACAGTTGTTACAAGTTGTGCATCGTCCCTTTAAAGAGAAACTTTCCAAAGATTAGTTCAGGACATCAAATTCTAGGGAATGACCGAAACAGGAGTCGACGGGGAAGGTCGGAAGCAATATTGTCATTGCCTGCTTCTTATCACTGACTAGTTACTTTTAATTAGAAATCAGAGTTCAAAAAACGGATAAGACTTCCAAAACAAAATTGAATACCGGTGGTCATTCAAATAATTCGAAATAGTGCATAACCCACGATAATAGCTCGCTTCTTATCTTGTTCTCCCTGTGTTGATTTTCATTTTGAAAGTAATACTATAAGCTTACATTTCAAAAAATCAAGTTTCCTTAGAAATTTTATGAGTTCCTCCAGAGCGGTGTAACAAACTAATAGTGATGGTTCTCATAGGTCTGGTCTGCGTTTCTTCCCTTATTCGTCACTTCGAAATTCAGAAAGCAGTCTCGAAACCTCCAAAATATTTTTGTCACACAGGTGCACACTCAAGACCACGTTTTGTCGATATCCGTTTTACAATACATTATAATATGCAGATCATGAAACACAGTGTACGAGAAGAGCTACCCTTTCATGGAATTTTTGCAATATTTTGTTCTTTGTTTCCGCTCCTGCACTTCAGTACATTCTTGCTCAACACAAAATATGCATTTTACCGTAGTGCTTCTTGTTGTATCAGGATTTTTTATACTTCCATAACGTTATACATTAATTCGGTGCGTTTATTTTTGAAAAGATTAACGGCACCCAAACCGTTCTTTTAATAACGTTCTCAAAGCCCATGTATTCTAATCGAAGGACCTATTTCAACAAGAAGAAAGTGTGAAAAAAAAACAAAAGAAAACAACACTTCGAATACCAAGTTCGTCCTCTTTCATAAAATCTTGCAGTCAGTAATAGACCAAGAGAAAATGCCTTTAAAAAATATTTAAAGAGGTAAAAAAATAACTAACCAGGATTATAGGTACCCGGTCCATACACTTCCGAATGTTCATCACTGATATCATCGGCCAGAATATCAGTTTCCTGCACAGGGTCGTAGTAGCGAACACCGTCATAGGAAACAGCGTAACCGTGATAACTGAAAATATCACAGATATTTCCTTCGTATTTTTGTTGAGCAAACGCGAGGTGTTACTATTCTTTGTTCACGATTAAGCTGACGTTTCGGCGGATTTCGCCTTCTTCAGAGCCTGGAAAGGTCAAGTTGATAGCAATCCACTCGGCCAGACGCCTCCATAACCAAACAAAGAAACTCCAAACCAAGATTTCAATCACTTTGAACACAGCTTTGCACACTCACCGCTCTCTATGAGGTTTCCACTAAGTATGTCACGTAGAGACCAACTGCACAGAAATCACGTGGAAGTATAATGTGCCCCTCACATCAGAAAAGCAGTTTTATACACTGCCCTATATCACGCGTGATAATGAGGCATTCTTCCCTGCGGTTCATTTTCGGATTTCTGCAATTAATCCAGAGTGCCTCGAGAGTTTTTCGCGCCTGTGTTCTTGATTCGCGTGCGAGGATCGTGACATATACTTCGAAGTCGTCCCCGTTATGTCTCTGGGTCCTATGCGTACCTAGCGGGGTATTTGGCCTATTTTTGCCGGCTAGGTGTTCTTTCATGCGGACACAGAGGGGTCTACCCGTTTCGCCAATGTATTCGTCACCACACGTCTTACAGGAGATCAGATAAACTATACCCGAGCTCATGCAATCACCGTCTCTACCACTGGGGCAAATTATGCAATTTTGAGTTGCACATAGACGGTCATATCGGCGGTTACGAACTAGCTGGCGCTTAAGATTACTCGGTGGTATTTCAACTACGCTCACCGAATTCTCTAAGCCCGCCCTTCTTAAGCAGCGTTTTATAGCTGTACTTATATCATTTGAGATGAAGGGTAGGATAAACGGGACCCTTCTATCGCTAGAGTTGTCGTTTGGAGGCCTACGATTTCCTCTACACCTATTCTGAGCAACCAACGTGTGCACGGGAAGAGAGCAGAGAGAGGAGTCCCGGAACTTGGCACGGCAAATAGCCGTTTCTAATGGCTACGAAACCGAAACTTGGTGGAAACCTCATAGAAAGCGGTGAGTGTGCAAAGCTGTGTTCAAAGTGATTGAAATCTTGGTTTGGAGTTTCTTTGTTTGGTTATGGAGGCGTCTGGCCGAGTGGATTGCTATCAACTTGACCTTTCCAGGCTCTGAAGAAGGCGAAATCCGCCGAAACGTCAGCTTAATCGTGAACAAAGAATAGTAACACCTCGCCTTTGCTCAACAAAAATACGAAGAAAATCACTTGATCAATGCCGAGGTTAATAGAAAGTCGGTCGTGGCAGTTACAGATATTTCCGTTGATCATCAACTAACTCAACGTACCAGCAAAGTGATTAAAAATGCCAACGATAAAATCTTCATTCGTTCCAATTGCGCATCCCTCTCTCGACCGACACGAACAATAAGTATGTTAACCGCTATAATGCTGAGATATTTGCAAAACTCCGGATCGCAGGTGTCTGCGGTGGGAAACGAACGCGCCATTGTCCTTTCCGGGGAGTAACGCGTTCACCACCACACCATGGGGGTCCTTCGTTCTGTCTGTCTCTCAGCTGGTTCTATCGATCTTTTGCCATCAGCAATCACCTGTCAACGTGATTGATCTGGGGAGCCCAAATCGGCATTGGACCCAGTTAAGCTGATGGCAAAAAGATCGATAGAACTAGCTGTGAGACAGGGGAAAAGAAAGTCCCGCATGGTGTGGTGGTGAACGCGTTACCGCCCGAAAAGGACAATAGCGCGTTCGTTCCCCACCGCAGACACCCTGCGGTACGAAGTTTTGCAAATGTCTCAGCATTATAGAAGTTATATTTCGCAACATACCCTGCCGTTAAAAAGAATAGGCAGTAAATAAAAAGGTTAAGATTGTGACTATAACTATAGCCTCAGCTTAACTGGGTTCATTGCCGATTTGGGCTCTACAGAACAGATGAATACCGTTAATACGTTATTGCTGATGGAGCTGATCAGTAAAACTAGCTGAGAGCCAGGCGAAACGAAAGTCCCGCATAGTGTGGTGGTCAACGCGTTACTGCCCGGAAAGGACAATAGCGCGTTCGTTCCTCACCGCAGACACCTGTGGTCCAGAGTTTTGCAAATATCTCAGCATCATTGAAAAAAAAAAGTATGCTGCCCTTTAATTTTACCTTTATAATGAAACCACATTCAACTCGCCGGTACTTCCCATGGCATGGTTCTACTCAGAGATAGCTTCCCTATACGCATGGGGAACTTATTTTCAGCATGCGAGATATAGAAGAATCTCCGTTTTACCATTAACAGCCATGAACATCGTCCAACTATAACAAGGTGCTAATGTAGTGAACGAAGAACATTAACCGGAATTAAAATGTATTAACAGATAACGGATATATTGATTAATTTTACGTTGCACAAAGACAAGCAGTTCTGAAATTATTCCCTAAGAAAGTTCATCATGTTTCGTTTTACGAGAATCCCTTCACCAGTTTGGACAACTCCGTTGCAACTGCCGCTGAAACTTCAAACTTGAAAAACAAGATTAACCCATCGGGTTTGACGGATGGCAACGAATCGAAGGCCTTCTAAAGCCCATGTCAAAATTTTACACATAGTCGGATCACTGCCTCGTATGCACAAAGTTCTTGCTTTCAGAATTTTGACAAAGATCTTTTCATTTCCTTAAACGACTCTTCGAGAAATAACACTCTCGGTGACATCCATTACGAACAAAATGGGCTCATCCACCACAACACACAAAGTAGGTTTGAACGATTCTAGCTTCCTACGTCGTACATGTTATCTCGTAGGAAATGAACGCACACCCTATCTAAAAAATATTTCCCAACATCTCATAAGATACCACCATTGGCTTCCCATTTATTGGATGCTGGAATATAAGGCTCTTCTCTTATACACTCAGACATCACGAGTTCACATGTCGTGATAGACCAGGCACTTCTTCTATTCGTTTAATTATCTTACAGTCGACATCTATAGAGGTGACCCGATTCTGTAGGTTCGACTGTGTCCCGAATGTCTGTCGTTTTTTATCACTAACTGTAGCTTGCGCGTCTGAAACCCCACGATGTTCTTGCTATCCATGGTAACGCTCCAGCACAACCATCAAAGTTTGGATCGATAGACATTCGCTTCCTTGTTACTAGTATTCTTAAAAGAAGACACAGATTCCTGTGACAGCAAAGAATTCCTTAGGATTAGCCGACCGACCAGTCGAACACAAAATATATCCACCTTCCATCTATTACCTATAAACACTTTAAGTTATCTCAACAAGATTCACAGGATTGAAAGAAAACAACAACTACAGGAAGCATGGCTTCGAAGAAGTTAACCACTACTCTTCATACCCACACGGCTATAAAACTGAGACACTGCCTCAATACAAAATATCCCCATATCCTCACTTCCGTCAACTTGAGAACTCTCAGTTCGAAAAAACAGCTAGAACAATCTTGACCCATACATGGATTATAATTAAATATTTAAACTTCAATGATGCTGAGATATTTTCAAAACTCCGGACCGCAGGTGTATGCAGTGGGGAACGAAGGCGCTATTGTCCTTTCCGGGGAGTAACGCGTTCACCACCACACCATGCGGGTCCTTCGTATCGCCTGTCTCTCAGCTATCTCAGCATCATTGAACTTATGTTTCGCAATAAACGCTACCATTTAAAAAAGTGGGCAGCAAATAATAAGTTAAAATTAAAGATTTAAATATATTCAGCCAGCTTTACAGCATCTTAAAGCCCAGAATCTCAAGAAAACTAATCATTACCGTTACCAAAATAATCATTGGGGAGCTACAATAGTACAACACAGCAGTGGTAGTCGATGAAGACCACCTTATCCCCATAGATGACAACATTCGACAGTCGAAAAGAATGCTAGCTAATTCTAACGGAAATGTGGAACAATTGATCCTCATTAACCAAAATCTGTGAAACAGATAAACGGAAAAGGGCAACATTATAGTTACTTACTCATCATCATCGTGATATCGCAGAAGACTGTTTGACATCCCTCGACATGAAACGTCTTCAACCTAGAGATGTTGCAATGAACAATAGAAACGGTCTCGGAAAAGAAAAGGAAAAGAAAATGAAGACCTGTAGAGGGAAAAACACTGAAAGAGACAAAAGAAATAACAACACAAAAAAAATTTCAGGAGTAGAAGAGAATATAAGAGATGAATTGTTGTTAATAAAGATGATATAGGAAGTGCTATTAAGTCCAGACTTCTAAATGTTCAAAATACTAGTAGATAGAATACTTGTAGATAGAAAACTAGCTGAGAAAAAGGCGAAACGAAGGACTCGCATGGTGTGATGAAGAACGCGTTAGCTGCCGAAAACGCTAATAGCGTGTTCGACCTCACAACAGACACCTGCGGTCCCGAATTCGGCAAATATCTCAACTTCACTGTGGTTGCATTTCACAAAAAATTCATTACGTATCCTACCATAGTTTAGTACCTACCTATGTGAATCAATTTCACATGTTTAGTGACAAAAGAAGCCAGCCACTTTTGGGTAACACTGTTTTTATTCTCATTCAGTTTAATTCTCTATTCCTATAGCTTACTCGAATATTTGCAGCATAAAACTTCTAGCGTCACACATTCCCTAATGAGCTTATTTTTCTACAACATACCATAACTTCTCGTTAAAGGGTATTTCAGGAGTTCAGAACCTCGTAGATCTATACTAGAGAGTTTTCACTAAAACTATAATCCTATGTATAATTCCCAGGATCGACTTTCTCTTAACCTCGGCATTGTTCAGCAATCGCGAGGTTTTTAAACAGCATACATTTACTTCCATAAAAAACACAATACAATACAACGCTAGCTGACGTTTCGGCAGTATCGCTTTCTTCGTGACTTCCAATGAGGAAGTTTAGAACAGTTGATTATAGTCGCATGTGGTTGGCGACTGTACCATCCCACCTATGTATAATATTTATACAGCCTTTTCAAATCTAAGCAGCACATTTACAACAAAAACTTTCTAAAAAAATCCATGACGAAATATAAGCTATAAATTCGCAACGGAGCACTGGCATTTGCACATATTACGGCACAATGGTGAACATAATCTTCTCCTGGAAGAAATTATGCTTGTTCATTTGCTTTTGTGTTTGAAATACAAGGTTTGACGTAATAAAGTGGAAGAAGTATATATCATAAGACTTCGGAAAACCAGAATTTCATCGTGGTAAAACGAGAAATTTTATCGCATAGGTAAGGGTTTGTAGATTCTGACGGTTTTTTTCACAACTGATAAAAATCGCTATAAGTTGAGATAAATGACATTAGCTATTGAAATGCCAACATCTCCACAAAGAAACGTAGCAGTGAAAGGAGAAATTGTTGAGCAATTCAAACAACACAAGAGATAAACCGTGTGTCTGTGCGCGTGCGTGCGTGCGTGCGTGTGTGTGTGTGTGTGTGTGTGTGTGTGTGTGTGTGTGTGTGTGTGTGTGTGTGTGTACTACCTCCCGTGAAGTCTTGTTAACGCGGAATAAATGCTCGGTTGGTTCAGTGCGTTCCACCACCTCGGCAGTAACTAGTGCAACTGAGTTAGACGTAGAATCTAAATTACCGCATGCTAAGCATAATGTAAAACACATTGTTATTTCATAAAGGGTGAGTTATATTAAATGAATCAAAGGATAAAGCGTCCGGAATCGATGTTCATTAGGAATGCATGATGCATCCAACTCCATTAAGCAGTGTACAGATGAATGGCTGTGTATTTGGCAATATACAATAGCATGTGGTTGCTTACAGTTGTTTTAAGGAAATATTTTTAATCTAACAGATAAGCATAGCACGAATTTGCCGATCTGGAATGGACGGATGGACTGGTCAGCACATAAGACGGAGTTCAACCAACGACGCATATGAGCAACCATTAGTCTAAAATATTTTTGCTATAGGCTGTGAGGTGTTAACCAGACATCGGCGTGTCTCTACTGTATTTAACGCTTTCCACAAAAACAAACAATCTCGTCGTTGCAATCGAGATTTAGGGTGTAAGATACTAACGCCGTACATTAAGATGGAAAGAAGATAATTGCCTTAAACGATTAGAATTCCACATGATTTTTCCTTTAAAGCACCACAGCGACTCCTAAAAAACCACAACTTAATGTTAAATTCGCGTTGATCCGACATTCTAAAATTCCTTTGTCACTATACATGCCTTTTCGGACATACTAATATGTCGCAGTTCCTTACATATGAGCACTAGGAACATCTTACACAGCCCTGCAGGCCCGAACCCTGAACAATGCAGGCAATCCAAAAATACACGTATAATGATTCCTCTTTGTAACCTTAGTGATACATAAACACCAAAACAGTGTAAATATTAATGCCAGAATAGGCATATAAAAGAGCAAGAGAAGAATCCGGTACAAAAAAGTCAAAAACACACCATCATCAGCGAGCAAGTCAGATTCTTAAAACGCGCACAGTCCACTGAATTAAACAAGTAACTATCTGACCTTTAAAAACAAGTACTACCGTTCCACACCTGCATAATTCGTGACAAACTACACCAATGAAAACATAGAGTAAATTCAAAAAACAAAACAAAAACTTATTTGAAGGACAAGGCAGAAAAAATATAGAAAGAGAAATATGAAGAAAAACTTATTTGTAGGAAAGTTGGAAAAAAGTGAAAATACAAGTCTATGAAAATGAAAATCAAAGTTATTTTGTTCAAATCTGCATAAACTCCAAAACTATACCTGGTTGACAAGCGCGTCATCTTTCTTCTGAAACGAGAATGATCGCTGCGTACGATGCTCAGGTGATAACATGCGATTGGAGGATTCATGTGCACCGGAAAGTCTGAAAATTGAGGAAGTGGAAAGAGAGCAGAGAAAAACGAGAAAAGAATAGAAGGGTGAGAAGGAGAGGAAAGGTGAAAAGAAAAGAAATAATGGTGGTAATACTAAATGTTTAGTAAGTAGCACTCATACATGTGTATGTATATATGCATATGCTCATTCATATATATATATATATATATATATATATATACATATATATGTATATATATATATATGAAGGAAAAAGGATAAAGCTCTCGGTGTTGATATATATGCTTCGCCTATTGCTTGTCCTACCGATGCATCGAGCCAGTGCTGCTATTCTCCCAGACAAGTCTGGTACCAATTTGCCGACCCAGGTGGGATGGAAGGCTGGTGGGCCATGGGCGCAGGGATCGATTCTACGTGCGTGTCGCAGTGGCGCCTCCAACCACTACGCCACACGCGCCCTATACATATATATATATATATATATATATATATGTACATACATGTATATATATATATATATATATACAATTTTATATGATCTGCCTTCACACTTACTATGTGGATACTAGCACTTCTCACATTCGATTCAATTCCTTACATCCATCATTTACTAATGACTTACAACTTTTACGTGTGGCTTCGCCTACTGCTTGAGGATTTTCCTTTCATCATGAATGTCGTAGAATGCTGGTTGAGTGGAATTCTCAATAGAGTCCTGGGATAGCTGAGACAAAGCATTCCCAATTGGATCGCAGAGAGTGATTTTTTCCTGGATAAGTTCGACACCAATTTCCCAACCCCGGAGGGATGAGATGCTCGGAGAGGGGTCGAACTGCAACCGTACTCGTGATGACCAGGACCACTACCACTTTTCTATCTTCCTCTATATATACATATATATATATATATATATATATATATATATATAGCTTGCATAACATGAGTAAAATCTTACATAACACTCTTATCAATCTTACATTTGACGCACTTTTGACAAAGCAAGCTTGTAAATATGTTCGAAACTAGCTGGTACTTAAAAAGCGTGTCTTCAGCAATTATGAAGGTACCAGTATAATCTAAGTTTAACTGCCACCTTGTTGACTTGTTTGCTGCCAAACTTTTTTAACTAGTTTCAGACAACAATGCCGACAGAAAACGATATCGTCCACCGGTAGTCACCTATCTTTGTGAATTGAAATAAAATCTTCGTTGTTTCGAAAAGGCGTCACCTTTCGTAGACTGCAATTCATTCCTTTGTAACTTCCCACGGAGACGATAGGACGACAACTAAGGATGGAGAGTAACTCCCATGTTCAACTTTCTATTAACCTCGGCGTTGATTGAGTAATTCTTTCTACTTCTGTTCAGCAAACACGAGGTGCTATTTTATTTCTTTATTTACGTACAAGCTGACGTTTCGGCGGATTTGGCCTTCCTCAGAGCCTGGAAATGTCAAGTTGACAGCAATCTACTATTCGGCCAAACACCTCCATAACCAAACAGGGGAAACAAGATTTTAATCACATTTAACATAGCTCTGCACACTCACCGCTTTCTATGAGTCTTCCAGTGAGTATGTCGTGTGAAAACCAACCGCACAGAATTCACATGGAAGCGTAATGTGCCCCTCCCATCAGAATAACAGGTTTATATACTGTCCAGTATCACGTAAGAAAAAAAATAACACCTCGTGTTTGCTGGACAAAAGTAGAAAGGATGGACAGTGTTTAGATTAAATGCTACCTTTACATTTTGACGTAACACTGATATTAAATCACGAAGTATGAAGTCTCCAAAATAATTTATATGTAAGCAGACATCTACAAAAACAAAGCAGTACAAGAAAACAGTGAAAAACAAAGTATTGTATTTAATCTTAAGTTATTAGTGATAAGTTTAAGGAAGATGCTGACCTATTGTTGAACTCTGTGCTTCTACTTCCATGTCTCTCATAAGAGACTAGCCGTGGCCCTTTGTTCGGATAGGAATAGTCGGACATCGAAGAGTTTAAGCGCAGAGTATCCTTTGACGATCAGACGATCAGGAAAGAGATGAGAATTAGCTCATCGATATGATCGATACGAGTAACGCTAACTGAAATGAAAAAGAAAAAACATAAGGATGAACAGAACGCCATTTACCAAATTTGATACAAACACTGTAAAAACGGAAAAAATAGAAGAGATGAAAAGTGAAATGAAGGATAGAAGCAAAATGAAAGCAGGAAAATAGAAAGATGTCAACCACATAATTGTGCACGTGTAAAACTTTCTATATCCATCAATGTTTAAGTAAACCTTTAGTTAATATCAGAAAAAAATTTTTCCCATTCATTAGAAAGACACTATTAGAACTGTGAAATACGACAAAAACGACGGATGGAAGAAATAACGACACTACCATGATTTCGGCAAAACCCTACTAAACGGTATAAAAAAATCAGGGTAGTGAAAAAACACCGTATATATTGTAGATTGTATTGTTTAAAGCCACGGATCCTCCTCCTATGAGGGATCTCGAGCCGGTCAGTCGTGACGCTACGTGGCGCGTCCACAGGTGGGGGATAGGGAGTTAATCGGGGACTAAAAGCGACTTTTGCTTCCCTGAGACGCAGGTGGATCCAGGGGATGGATTCCCTGTTTCTGCTGCGCCGATTTGGCACATACTTTCTGTATTTGCTAGGCGTACTCATGCATGTGTGTGTGGGTGCATTCTCGCTTAGGCGGACTGTACTCTACCAGTCAAGCCTGCAATCAAGTAACAGGGAAGTATATGGGAGGCGGTTAGGAGTCGCCTCCAACAAATAAGCTCTATGTCCATTATGGGAGAGCCTGGCAAGCTACACGTGAGTATACTCAACCCCACGCTCAGAACCCAACAAGCTATACATGGGTATCAAGATGATAAACACGGTAAAAAAAAAAACGGGCCTCATTCCCCCTGACCCCGAAAGAGCCCCAATTTCGCAACGTTGGCTAGGACGAGCACGGAGAGGTTGCTAAAATCTCAGGGCCAATAGAAGTTGCCTGGATTACAAACAACTATGGTGACGATCTGTACCTACAATGCAAGCACAGTTGCATCCGAGTCCTCGATAGAAGACATGCAACCGAGAAGGATAAGGTACGACGTCATCGGCCTGGCCGAGACGAGACGAGGTCACCCATTCAACCATTCAGCGCCATCTATGACACCGGAGAAGAACGGTTCCTCGCAACAGGTGACAATGGAGGAGTCAGTGGCGTCTGCGTTCTCGTCAACACGAGTTTGTTCACGAACTTCGATTCATTCGAACAGCTTACAACCCGAATCAGGTGTATACGATTAAAAAGGTGCAGATCAGTACCTCCTTTCACAATCTTCGTTGTCTACGCGCCGACATCAAACTATAACGAAGAGGAAGTCGAAGCGTTCTATATAGACTTGGAGAAATTCTACAGAGAAGACCATACATTCTTCAAGGCAATCAATGGAGATTTCAACGCCAAGATTGGACCAACTCTGAGTTTATCATGGCGACCAAGACCATCCATGGTAACTCGCAATTCCAGAAGCCTAACGCAGGCAACCGCGAACTAACGTCCGAGCTTGCAAAACAATGCAGACAGACGATAAAGGAAGATCTTAAGGAGAGAAGAGCAGCAGTGATGGCCGAAGCTGCAGAGGGTGGGAAAGGCATTCGCAAAGCTCACCGAAGCTTCGCCAATTACAGGACCAAGATGATTGCACTCGACGTCCAGACGGAACAATTACAGCGTCCAGAAAGGCAATGGAGAAAATCATTCACGAATACTACTCAGATCACTTCAATAGCCAAGTCCACCTTCCTTCATGTGAAATAAAGGAGGATGGATATGTTGCACCACTAGTTCTCCCTTCCGAAATCCGACATGTCATTTCGCCGGTGAAAAGTCGAACAGCACCAGGTCCTGGCAGGATAAGACCAGAACACCTGAAATACCGTCTGCTAATCCTCGTAAACACACTGGGTCGGCTCTTCACACGTTACCTGCCTAAATGCAAGGTCCTTACTCAGTGGAAGACCAGCAAAACCGTGTTATTGTTCAACAAGGGTGACCTACATGATATCGGCAACTATCGCCCAATCTGCTTGCTGTCTGTCTTCTACAAACTTTTCACTCGAGTCATCCTAAATAGGATTGACAGAACGCTAGACGGAGGACAGCCATGTGAGCAAGCAGGGTTTTGAAAAGGATTTAGTGCGACGGACTACATCCACGCGATAACTACATCTCATTAAAGTATCGCGAGAGCACAAAACGGCAGGGCTTTGATTCAGCTGAGATAGAAGCAGTCTTGGAAGCGCTTGATAGTCAAGGAGTGTCTACCCAGTAAATAAAGATTCCTCGTGAGCTGTACAAAAATTTTACAACCAAGATATCACCATTCTAAAACGATATTAACATTGACGTCAAAAGAAGAGTTAGGGAAGGCGATACCATCTCGCCAAAATTATTTACCTCCACACTCCAGAACGTCTTGCGAGCATTGGAATGGGATAATATGGGAGTGAAAACCAATGGTCGGCAGTTACATCATTTTTGTTTCGCCGATGACATCGTCGTTATAACACCAAACATTAACCAAGCAGAACGTATGCTTACCGACTTTGATAAAGACAGTAGAAAGGTTGGTCTTCGACTAAATCTCACAAAAACGATCTTCATGAAGAACGGATTGGTTTCGCATGCCCTATTCACGCTCAACGGAACGAATTTCTCCGAATGCTCCAATTATGCCTATCTAGGTCGATAAATCAACATGTTGAACGACTCAGCTCCAGAGCAGAGCAGAAGGAAAGGAGCGGTTTCGGTAGATTTCAAGAGCATAGAGGATATAGCGAAGAGGAAAAAGCACACCCGACTCCGTACCCACCCTTCCGACTCAATGGCATTTCCTGCCCTAACGTATGCGTCAGAAACCTGGTCGATACGTATGCAGGAAGAAAGATCAATCAGCGTTATCGAACACGCAGTCGAGAGGACGATGCCAGGAGTATCCCGTTCCACACACTAAGGGATGGGATCCGAAACTCCGACCAGCGTCAACGATCAAATGTCAAAGATGTCATTCTGTAGGCTAAACGAAGATGAGGTGAGCCGGACACATAATGCGTATGTATGACAACCGATGGACAAGAGCCGCTAGTGACTTAATTCCTATGGATGTCAAACGTACTACAGGAAGACCACCGACTCGATGGTCAGAGTTCTACACAAAGAGCTTTGAAGAACGATGTGATGCTCGACGAGGCCCTAGAGTGAACAGGAGCCACTGGGCTACTCTTGCACGCGACAGAGAAAAGTTGAAGATTTACTGGCGCTGGCTCGATTCACTCGACGATCAACGAGACTACAAGTGATACAGGTGATTGTTTAAAAAAGGGCGCATGTGGTGCAGTGCTCGGAGGCGCCCTGTGACACAAACGAGGGATCGATCCCAGTGCCAGTGGCTCACCAAGCCTTCTATCCCTCCGAGGTCGGTAAACTGACACCACACTTGTCTGGGAGGGTAGGAGCACTGACTCGACACATCGATAGGCCATCGTGAGTCAATGCAAAGGCCAAATATGCATTCAATCACCTCCAACGATACTTAATGTGTCGAATGCATGGTGCATCCCTCAGGGATTGATCACTACCGACAGCTTTTTTCACTGTTTAAAAAGCAAGGAGAAGGATGTGCAAAGCGGAAAACAAACAACTCTGTTGTCACTGCAATCGTAGTAAAAGCGTTAGCTGCTGTATTTAAAACTAAATTACACTAAAAAACACGGTTGATGCTCACACACTCTGGTCTCCATTTGAATGAAAATAAGCTGGCCATTTTCATCGAGTATGATAAACGCTAGCAATTCCACACCTTCGATTCAAAAACAAAATATTTGCGAAAAATTTTTACAGGTCATTGGAAAAGCTCACAATGCAACGTTTGAACAGTATCACTACAAATTATATTATTTATTTGCTTATTATACCACCTGCATCAGATTCCTTAGAGGCCCAAGTACAGCAAAAATAAAACACGGAAAGTGATAATGCCTTCAGGCTAACACTGGCCCGAATAAAAGCACGTTTGCTAGGAGAGATAATTTTTTAAATACTGCACCGTACTATTACACTTTAATAACAAGACATATGATCTAAACAGATGTAAAACCACTCTTACAGAAACAATGAACTATCCACTCTTACAGAAATGATGAACTATATCTCGTTCCTTTTCTTGCTTTTGAATTTCCCAAAACTTTTAGTTCACCGATGGCATATGCAGCCTAGTGGTTAGAGGTGCTTTGGAGTACACATGGGTTCGATCCCGCGCCTTAGGCTCACTAAGCCTTCCATACCTTCTGGTTCGCAAGCTTCGTATTACATCGATCTAGGAGGATAGCAGCACTGATTCCAGACAACGACAGGCCACCATCAGTCAATGTATGGTAGCACAGCGTGTGGTCAAAGCAACTTACCTCAGACTCATTTCTTACCTCATTGATTGAATTATTGCCTCCTGTGACTCATAATTTTTAATATTCTTTATCATTTCGATTCTAATCCATAACATCTTGGTTCAATCTATCAAATTATTATCAGCTTGCAGGAGCACAGTGCTAATTCGACCCCACACAGCTCAGCAAACCTCCTACGTCGGAGGGGTGAGAAAATTGGTGCCATGCTCGTCTGAGTCCAGCATGCTTGCTCCAATCCATGTACGAACGCCCAGCAAAGCTAGCACAGTAGTCCAACGAAAATCGACTCGACTAGCATCCAGCGACATATCCTTGCGAAGATGAAAAATCTTCCAGCACTAACCGAACCCACAAGCGAGAGCTTGAAGGTCTTCGTAGATGATGGATGCAAGGAAACGAATATTATGCAAAAGTTCTAAGATTCGTACCGAATATGTGAAGACGAGTAATGTAAAATTTAAAAAAATACTGCATATTTGAATATAACAACTAAATTTGTTATCTGCCGTGAT